TGTGTAGGAATTATGGTATTGTGGGACTGCACCTCCACCCGTTTATATTAGGGCGAGGCGGTACAACCGCTTTGTGTATAGTTTTGGTATTGTTGTGGTACCACCACCCGCATACATTGGGGTGAGGCGGCATAGCCGCTTTGTGTAGGTTCTTGGTACTGTGGTTATACATCCACCCGCATACATTGAGGTGAGGCGGCAGGGCCGCTTGATTTGAGTTGTGGTATTGTACGTACACCTCCACCTGCATACATTGAGGTGAGGCGGCGGGGCCGCTTTGTGTGAAGATGGTTATAGAGGATCTCATCTTAAATCCTATAAATGTTGTTGATAGCATTTAATAAGCTTACTATGGTTGAGACGGTTATCTATATTATACTATTACCGCATTGGTTCATCATATTCATCTTGTATTTTTGAATTTTTAAATTAGTGTTTAGTTTTTATACTAGTACTATTCGACGGTACTAACGTCCCTTTTGCCGGGGGCGCTGCATCTTTAAATGGATGCAGGCGATTCCACAGCAGGAGATATTGATCACTCATAGCAGTACACCTACTTTCCAGCTGACTTGGTGAGCCCCACTTCATCCCGGGGTCATGTATCTTTTGTTCTTTGTGTATTCTGTTTGGGGTATAGCTGGGGCCTTATTGCGGGCATTATCATTGTACTCATATTTATCTATAAAGGCTTCGTAGACATAGTGTGGGTTGTGTATTGGTGTTGGGGAAAGACAAACTATGTTATATTGTAGTTGTATTACTTGCCCATTTGAGACATTAAAAATGATAAAACTATTAGTAAGAAATTGGTAATTGCAGACATGACCACTTTATTGTTTAATTAAGGAAAACATATATTCTCTTTATTCATGAATGAGTTTGGGTAGAAGGAATCTAATAGGCTTGCTCGGTCGGGTTCACTCGGTTGAGCGCCGGTTGCGCTCCTCGGTTTTGGGGCGTGACAGGATGGCTCTCATGGTGTGTATCTATGGTCGCCCTATTATGGTGTTGTACGTTGTGTCTTGGTCCATGATATGGAACGTGGTTTCCAGTGTGACGCCACCGGCCAGGACGAGGAGTGTGATCTCACCGGATGTTCCCTCAACTGCATTGTTAAAACCCGTTAGTGTGATACAGCGCTGCACTATCTTATCCTTGAGTTTCATATGTGCAAGCACTCGAGGGTGGATAATGCATGCACCGCTCCTATCGTCCACTATAATATGCCTCACATCGGTATCTAAAATTCGTAAAGTGATAACAAGAGCATCATAGTGAGGGAGAACTAAACCGTTGGCATCTGACTTATTGAAGATGATACTTTCTTCGAGTTCATCATACCGTTCATGGGTGATCGACCGTTTGAGTTTCTGGGTTGTGGTGAACTTCACACTCTTGATGGAAGCATCGTCGCCTCCCCTAATGATCATGTGGATGGTACGGGTCGGCAAGGGTGGTTTCGGCAGTCCTTGATGTTGTTCACGTCCTCTGGCAAAGTTGGTCCTTCCCCGGTCTCTCAGCAACTCTTTGAGGTGTCCCTATCGTAGCATGTTTATGACCTCCTGTCTTAGGGCGATGCAATCTTCAATTTTGTGTCCTCGCTCTTGATGGAACTCGCAGAGGGCATCGAATTTTCTGGTATTCGGGTTTGACCTCATCTTTTGTGGCCACTTCACCTTCTGTTCGAGCTTCTCCAAGGCGTAGATTATTTCTGTAGGTGACACATAAAAATTATGAGCGGATAATAAATAGAGCATACCTCTCTTATTCCGGTGAGTCCCTATTTTTGATCGGGGTGGGCCTTCTTCGTGGGGAGATGAGGACGTAGTGGCGGTTCTGACATATGGTAGATGTCGTTCCCGGTTGGGTCACGAGGCTGCAAGGTCTCTTATGATATCATTTCATCTATCTTTCATGGATTCTTCTTGCACCGAGGTCAGTCGATGGGTGGGCCCATCGAGGTCATCCTCGTCTGCTCGGACTTCGGCACAATATGCATTGTGTATCTCATCCCAAGTAGTTGGGGGGTACTTCATAAGTCGACTCAGTAGCTTTCTTGTCGCCCTCAAACCGTTTCTGCTCAGTCCGTTTTGAAAAGTTGAGACCGCCATCCCTTCCGATACATTTGGCAAGGTCATTCTCACTCGGTTGAACCGGGCGAGGAAATCCCTCAATCCTTCTCCCGGAGACTGTTTAATAGCAAATATGTCGTTTACTCTCTCCTCTACCTTTTTGGCTCCAACATGGGCCGTTACAAACTTATCAGCCATTTCTTCGAAGGTTTCAATAGAGCATGCAGGCAGTTGTGAGTACCAAGTTAATGCTCCTCCCGTGAGGGACTCACCGATCTTTTTTAACAAAATCGAGGATACTTGTTCCTTGGCGAGGTCATTGCCTTTCATAGCGGTGACGTAGTAAGTCATATGGTCTTCGGGGTCGGTCGTGCCATCATATATTTTCAGATAAGGCAGCATCTTAAAGGTCTTTGGTATGGCATGTGGGGCGACATCATCACTGTACGGCTGCTCGATGAACCATCCGGCATCTCTCTTTGGCAAGAGCTTAGGGGCGCCCAGTATCTTATCGACCCTCTCTTTGTGTTTTCTCATTTGATCTCGAAGCGTTTTGTTCTCATTTCCCATTTCCTCCATTCTTTTCAAAATGGCTGTGAGAGTGTCGTCACCTGCATTATTAACGACATTGTGAGTAATTCCTGCCATTGGAGGAGGTGGGAGTTGACCATGCTGCTCGTCTGCTGGTGGTATAACGCAAGTCCTTGCGTTATCTATAGTCGCGTCCCGAGCGGGCTTATGGAGGACGCCGGTTAGCGTGTCAGATAGCCAGGCCTCTAGGAGCTTTTTTACTGCTAGTGGCGCCTCCTCCGCCAAGGATGTGGAGGCTTCCTTGCCAAGAGACTTTGTGATGCTGCCATGGGGAGGGGGTGATCCACCTCGCCTGGGAGAGGCATTGGGCATTGCGCCCTCGTCCACTGCTTCAGAGCTGGCTGGTTGGGAGGTCACTCATTATTCTCATTCTTTCTTCTCTGTTACGTGCCATATTAGATCTATGTATGCATAGAGAAAATGATCTTGCTCTTTTTTTTTTTTTTTTTTTTT